CTTAATATTTGTTGTCGTCGTCTAGACTTAATCTGATCAGTAGTATAGTTACACGGCATCTGTATATCAAAGCTATTGTTTAAGTGAATGGCCAGTGTTTTAGCTGATAATAGTGACTTAAATTGTTTTTCAATCGTCTGTCTATTGAGACGTTTGGTCAATACGTTGATGTGTTTGTCATCTATAGGTCGGCGAACCGGTTGATGAGCGCCGACACCTAACACCCGCCGATAGAATCCATTGCTAACGAACTGTGCTTTCTGTCCGCACAATGTTATTATCGGCAGTTCGGTGTCATATTCTGTGCGCTGAATATTATCCGATTTAATCATCAAATATTTTGATGAACAATAATAATTAAAATAAATATTAGCTAATGCTATAATTATAAACAATACAAGTTTCAAAAATAACATGATTGTTATGTATTGTATTATTCAATATTTATATTAATATCTAAAATTTATATAAAATTTTGTGCTTATCATAGTTTAAACGTTTTATGTGATGTGATTAAAATAAGATTTATAATATATATTTATAAATATACAGTATATTGTTTACTAGTTTTAAAAAGTTATTTACTATTAATAAGTATTCAAACAAACTTTCACAAAAAACTTGTTTTCTGAAATCTATAAATATGTCTGTCTGTTGTATTTTACCGTATTTTGCAAATATTAAAATTCTGACTTTAGATTCGTTAGACTTATAAAAATAATGTATGTTATAGAGGGGTCAACATAAAAATAACATCTGTATTTTTGTTAACATATATAAATTTAGATTTTTAAATTTTAAATTCCTTAAGTACATCAAAATGTAAAATAAAATTGCATATATTAATATTTTTATTATATAAATGTTCAAAATTATCTGTAAATTTGTTTTTTGTTGTAAATATGAACTAATTAATTTTAATTGTTAGTTATATTTTAAATCACTAATAATAATAATACCAGAAACAAACTTTGATGGCATAAATTAGTATTTATACAGTCATATTATAATAAAAAATTTATAGTGCTATTAATCATCAGTCATTATGAATTATATTATAACCAAAATATTTATTGTTGATAGCCATTAGTCGATGATTTTGTCTATGTTATTTTATATTTTTTATACTAATCCCCTATACATTATTTTTAAAGTTTTAACCGAATCCGAAGTCAAAATTTTCACAAAAATATTGACCAAACAATATTAGCAATCAGTATTTTAAATATAATAATATTATTATTTATAAGGAATAGTTGATGCAATTGAAGTTTGTTTCTAGCAATGCTAACTATCATTCTCAACTGGTTTATTATTTAATTTACAATAATTATTTAGATGTCATTAAATATATAATATATATTACAGTATATATAATTTTGATATGCAATTCATTATTATAATTATCAATATTAGTATTAAGTATTATTAAATGATTTTTATTGAAATAAAAACATTAGTTTTATAAAAATATTCTATAAATAAATATTGACTGGTACGAAAATTAAAATATATATAAATTTTAATTTTCGTACCAGTCAATATTTATATATTATTATTATATTATAAATTATATTTAGATATTATTAATGATAATCATATAATGATATCTAAATATCATAATTATTGTAAAAACAATAATAAAACTTTTACTAACACTAAATAAAGTTTTTTTAAAAAAAAATATACTAATATACATTACAAAATATTTGCTCTTACAATAAATTGTTAACATATGATACAATAAATAGATTTAGAAATAAATAATTATTATTTATGTTATTTAGTATAATTTAAATATTTTAAAAAATATATGTTTATAAAAAACTAAATTATTTAGAATATAAGTTTATTATATTTTAATTTATAAATTATTTATAAACTTTTGAACAAAAATAAAATCTACATTAATTTAATAATATGAAAAGTAATTTATATTACTCTTAGATATCATATTTATAATTTTTTATGAAAACCGATTATTAATTAAATTATTATTAAAATAAAATATGATAAAAACTAAAAAATAATTGTTAAATTAACAATTCAAAAATTCTATACACATTAAATATCTAGTGTATAAATTCACTAATTAAAAAACAATCAACATTATACTTAATTGTTAATTAGATAGATATGCTCATTTATTTATTTAATAATTTATTTTTCGGAAATAAGTATATAAAATAATTGAAATGTTTTATAACAAAATAAATAGATAATATATTATTTGTTTTAAATATTTTATTTCAATATTTCAATGCTTGTTGAGCTACATCTATGATTATGATGTCTATCCGATAGTAATAAATAGATAGCAAAAAATGCTAACCATATCATCAAATCATCTCCAATTACGGCTAAATAATCAGCAAATGTCAGTTCAGGTTCTTCGACGATCACAGTAATTGGTCGCTTGGATGGTCTGATTTTAATGGTATGACCAACGGTTGTGTCGGGATTTGTTGCCATTGGATCGCTATTCACTTCTACTGAATAGTATTCTTCATAACAGGCCTTATGTCGGCAAAGTTGGTTACACCGAGACTCACCAGTATTTGTCTTTTGTAGTACCCGTTTGTTTGTCGACCACAGCTCTCTGTCTAAACTACAAAAATGACTACTCAGATAACTGTCCTCTTTTGATATCATAAAAATGCTTTCATCGGGTATACAATTAAAATGTTTAAACCATTCGCTAGTTTTGCATTTGGCTATACATTCCTCACGTGAATTAGTCGACTGGTTATTGTGTTTGTAGTCGTGACACGAACTCTCATAGGGCTCCGGTAGTGACATATATTGTGTGGTTTGATAGTAAAGATTGGAACTCCTATTGGGTTCCAGACTAACAATTTTGTAGTCAAATTGATGGATGTCTACAAATGGTGACTGAGATGAATGTAAACCAAGCAAAACATCGGGTATTTTCAATGTCATCTCAATGGTCACCAACGGGTAGATCGAGTCATGACTGAACTGATCGTAGCTTAGATTACTATACAACACATTGGTGTCTGATTTGTCTTTTTGAAACAATGTTAAACAATATAGTTTCGGACTAATAGACCGACGAAACTGGTGGACACGATTACAGTCTACCAAACCGTTGCTGTCGTCCCAACATTTGATGACTTGTGTTAGCATTTTCCGATCAAACATCACATCAAACTGTCCGCCGACAGACAATTGACTGAGATTACGTTCAATGATTGCCAACTTTTCGGCATCAATTGGCCGCTCAATTTGGTCGCCAAACAGATCGCGATAGTAGCCGTCGGTAATGAAATGTCCTTTCGGTGCGCACATCGTTATCGATGGTAAGTCGTGAACAACAGGCCTGACATAACTGAGTCGCGTTTGGATGCGATAATGAAAATAGTCGACAGTATTTGTATAGATATTGATAACACTAATCAATAACCAAAATACAAATATAACAAATACTATTGTATTTTTAAATGCACCCATTATTTTATGCAAATTGTTTAGTACAGTATAAATGTTAAACTAAACAAAGTTTTATTTTCTATCAATTATAACTAATTTTTTTATAAATTAAAAAATCTATATCATATAAATCAATAAAAAAATTTGATAATGTAATTAAAAATTGTAAATAATTAAACAGATTTTAGTTTATAATAATAAAACTATTATCATAAAATTGTCAAGGTTATAAATACAATAGTTTACTATATAAATATTATTCATCTGTTTAAACTGTATTTGATATATTTTAATTTATTTATCAAATGTATGCTTATTTTTAGTCTTTTGTAAAGTTATATTAATGTAATGTTTAATCATCTGTTTTAATATTAAATATAAAATTCAAAAATTACTAAAATTATATTAGTTAACAATAAATTATTTAAATGTAATAGTAATATATTAATAAATACAATTACAACAACAAAAACAATTTAAAATAAATAAATTTATATTAATTAGATTATTTATTTATTTTTAATGACTGATTTTTATTATTTAATTAATGAATAAAATAGTAAAACAGAGTTAATTAAATATACAATATTTTTATTACATTTGTCTATAAAATATTAAGGTAATCATAATTAAAATAATAAAAATACAATAAATTGTCAATAAAATTCATATTTATTAATATTGTACAGTATAGTCTGCAATATAATAGATTTTATACAGTAATTAAGTTTTAGACAGATTTGAAAATCAAATAAATTTACTTTTAAATTTTAAATAATAGTTATAGAAAAATGCAATCATTATAGAAAATTTATGTCATTATAAGATATTATAAGACATTATAAGACATTTTAGTCAGACAATTGTTAAAAAAAATTATTATATATTTTGCATTATTAGACACTACTGTATATTATTATATGTTATATTATAGTATAAAATACTATACATTTATACATCTATATAGTAAATAAAATAAAAAAAATTTTTATAATAAGATTATTATTATTTGTATAAAAATGATAATTATGTAATTCTTATAGTTATATAATTGAATAAATTAGCAAATATTTTTAATAACATAAAATGACTGTTAGTTTGGGTTATTATGATCTTGATTATAAAACAATATATAATTTAAACAGCTTATACATTGTTTATACCATAAATATAAATATTAAAATTATAATTTAACAAATGTTTTAACTAATTAAATTATTATACTGTGTAAGGTTATTTAATGCAATAATGTAAGGTATTTATAGTATGTAAAGCAATAAAAAAAGTTATGTAATAATTAGCTAAATTACAAAATTATAATTACAGAATTTATATTCAATTAACTTATAATGAAATGTAAAAATTTGTTTAACTAATAACTAGTGCATATAAAATATACTGTATATTTACAACGTGCAAAAAAATCAGCAAATTATTAATAAAATTAAAATTATAAATGATATAATTTTTTAAAAATATATTATTAGTTTAGTTTATAACTAGAATTTAATTGTAAATTATATTAAATTATATATTTATTACTATAATAAATGGCTATTAGTCTGGCATCGCAAGTGATAGCTGTTTCTGCGGCACTCATTAGTCTTGACTATAGTCACAGATTTACTGCCCGACCTGAACCACCTAAAGCTGAATATGACTATATAGTTATAGGTGCGGGAACTGGTGGTGCTACTGTTGCGGCACGATTAAGCGAACTGTCCAATGTTCAAGTATTACTACTGGAAGCCGGCGGACCGGGAAATATAGAATCGGATGCACCGGCAATGGCAAACATGATCATCAAAGGCCAATGGATTTGGAACTATACTAATTCCAAACAATCAGTTGGTATCGGTTGGAAAAATCAAGTCATACCGTGTGAAAAGTTAGTAAAAATCTACAAATATTTATATTATTTTTAAAAAAATTTATTGTTATTTAAATTCTAGAGGTCATGGACTGGGAGGCACTTCATCTGTCAATTCTATGGTATTCAATAGAGGCAACAGTCGTGGTTACGATGATTGGTCTAATAGATACGGTGCTACCGGTTGGGGTTGGGATGATGTTCACCAGTATTTTATGAAATGGGAAAATAATACGGATAGTGAACTGGTGAATGACAATCCTGATTGGCACAGTACTAAAGGTCCGGTTCAGATTAGCTCATTTGAAAATCCAGATCCTATTTATCAATTGTTTATCCAAGCAAATAACGAGTTAGGCTATCCGATCACTGATATCAATGGTCCCAAACAGGTTGGAGTGGCTATAACTCAATCATTTATTAGTGCAAGTGGTGTGCGATCCAGTTCCTCAAACTCATACCTCGAGGACAAACGTCGGCCAAATCTTGACATTAGTGTTCACTCGCGAGTAACTCGACTGCTGTTCAATGGTTTTACTGCTATTGGTGTACAATATGTCAAAAATAATTTCACATTTGTTGCAAAAGCAAGAAAAGAGATAATTTTAAGCGCAGGTATGTAATACAGTTTAATATATAAAAAATTATAATTATTATATTTAATATACAGTCTAAATAAACTTATAGTATAAAACAATATGTCATATAAACTATAAATAAAAAATGAAAAGTTAGTTAATATAATTTTTTTTTTGCTACAGGTGCCTTCAATACGCCACAGTTACTTATGCTGTCAGGAATAGGACCGGCACAACACTTGCGTAGTCACTCTATACCAGTATTGGCCGATTTACCGGTCGGTATTGGTTTTAAAAATCATCCGCTAATTGAATTTCGGGGGTTTATAAAAAATGATTCATTAGTCACAACCAGCCGACAACTGGATGTCAATGCACTGACTGTTTCCAATCTATACCAATGGTTTACTAACGGTTCGGGACAGTTAAGCCAATTCTATGATGGTATAACCTATTTTAACAGCCGTAACAATAGAGATAAAAATTGGCCAGACCTAGCACTAGAAGCTCGTCTATACTATCAACCGAGTGATGTCCAATCATTTACGGCACAGATTTACGATAATGTTTACGATTGGACACAATATCTGAAACCGTACGCCAATCGATATTACCTTAATTTTTTGGTTATTCATCAATTGCCACGAAGTCACGGGTCGGTACACTTAAGGTCTAGCGATCCATTTGATGCGCCGGTAATTGATCCGCGACTACTGTCTCATCCTAAAGATATGGAAGATGTTGTTGAGGCCATACAGTATTCACTATTTCTGGCCGAATGGTCATCACTGGCCCAATACTTATTGCCAATGCGTCCCATTCCCGGTTGTAGGCCTTGTCCGCACACATCATATCTATACCGATGCAAATCATACATTAGATGTCATATACTACAGATTGCATCTACTGAACATCACGACTCCTGTACAGTACGTATGGGTGATCCCCGTAGTAATAACACAGTGTTGGACCCCCGGCTGCGTGTTAAAGGTTTCAACAGATTGCGAGTCTGCGACGCATCGGTGTTTCCCAATATACCCAATGCTAATATAAATTCGGCCACTTTTATGGTCGGCGAAAAGTGTGCCGAAATGGTCAAAGAGGATAATCATTATTTTTAAATTTTAATTTAAATCATTGTTATTTTTCAATAGTTTTTTTTTGTCAGACATAGTGTATATGTATATTAAAATAAAATTAAATGTTATTAATCAAAGTCACTAAATAAATATATCACTAATTTTCTGTAAGTTTATAGTGTTTTTTTAATGAAAGTCATTATATGTTAATTTTACTTATTATTATTATAGTAATTATTATTTTTCTATAGAAAAAACTTTAGATTACACATTTACATTACATTACACATCTATACAGTATATAAAATAAAAAATTTATTGTTAATAAAATTATTATTTTTATAAAAATAATAATTATATATTAATTATAGTTATATAATTGAATAAATTTTTAAAAAATGACTGTTAGTTTGGGTCTACAATTAATATCAGTTTTTGTGGCATTCAGTAGTCTTGAAAATAAACATCGATTTACTGCTCGACCACAACCACCTAAAGCTGAATATGACTATATAGTTATAGGTGCGGGAACTGCCGGTGCAACAGTGGCCGCCAGACTAAGTGAACTGTCCAATGTTCAAGTATTACTACTGGAGGCGGGCGGACCAGGAAATATATTAGCGGATTTACCGGCACTGGCAGATGTTATCCTCAAAAGTTGGATGATTTGGAACTATACTAATGAGAAACAATCAGTTGGTATCGGTTGGAAAAATCAGGTCATATTAGATGAAAAGTTAGTAAAACTCAATTAAATAAATTAGTTATATTTTAGTATATAAATTTAATTACAACAATATTTATTTTAATATTTTAAAAATTTTATTTCCAGAGGCTATGGACTGGGAGGTAGTTCATCAGTAAACTCATTGATTTTCAATAGAGGTAATCCTAAAGATTTTGATGCCTGGGCTAACAAATACGGTGCTACCGGTTGGGGTTGGGATGATGTTCACAAGTATTTTATGAAATGGGAGAATAATACCGATAGTGAACTGGTCAAAGCCAATCCTAATTGGCATGGTACAAATGGCCCTGTTCAGATAAGTACATGGACTAACCCTGATCCTATTTTTAAAATTTTGCTAAAAGCACACAACGAGTTAGGCTACCCGACCACTGATCTCAATGGTCCCAAACAGCTTGGAGTGGCTTTATCTCAATCATTTATTAATACTAGTGGTGTGCGATCCAGTTCCTCAAACTCATACCTTGAGGGCAAACGTCGGCCAAATCTTGATATTAGTGTTCACTCGCGAGTAACTCGACTGCTCTTTAATGGTCTTACGGCTACTGGTGTTCAATATGTTAAAAATGGTGTCACATATGTTGCAAAAGTGAAAAAAGAGGTTATTTTGAGCGCAGGTATGCCATAAACTGTAAAATATTAATAATAATATACGGTTTTAAAAACCCTTTAATTTAAATCAATTTATTGCGATTATTACTGTTTATATATATATATATACAGGGATATTGGATGAACTTGTGAACGTATTTGATGTAAGATTTGACTGTCTAAACATGTGTTTAAAATATTTATTTTCATACCAAAACAAACTATAGTGTTATATAATTATTGTGATATTTTTTAATTAAAAGTGCAATTGAAAATGTGGCCAAAGGTCACGCCCGAAGTTCGGGCACAAGTAAAGGCGTTTTTAGACATAAACTGGTCATTTTCGGTGATAATTAAATATTTCGAGTCAAAGGGCATCCCGTTATCTAAGAGTATGATATCTAAGATAAAAAATGCGCCAAAAATAGCGGACAATATCCCATAGAAACCCGACTTGAGAGGCAAAAAGAGTGTCCTCTCAGCTAACCAATTAAGTCGATTGAAGAAAATGGTGGAAAATCCCAATCCAATCACACAGAAAGCGATGGCACAACAACTGAAAACTAATGAATGGGTTGTCAACTACCAGATCCGCAATGTTTTAAAGAAAAAGTTGGCCAAAAAACCAAGAGGACAGGTCCTTAGCGCCGCAACCATTGAAAAGCGGGCAAAGAGATCGTGGCCATTTTATCGCCGTCTAAGAGGCCAGAGATGGACAAAACATATTACATCAGATGAGGCACTGTTCCATTTATCGGAAACAGATGGTAAAACAAAGATACAGTATATCTCCTTTCAACAAACCCGTAAAGACATGGAGGTATACTCGCGAGCAAGTTTCCCGAAAGGTGTTATGGTTTGGCTCGGAATCTCGGCAAATGGCAAAACCGAAGTCCGATTTGTCAAACCTGGAGTCAAAATAAACTCCGATTATTATATAAATAAGATATTAAAGCCATTTCTCCGCCGAGATGTCCCGAAATTATACCCGAATGGTGACTATTGCTTCCATCAAGACTCGGCACCCAGTCATGTGTCTAAAAAGACATTAAACTTTCTTCGGGAACAAAATGTACCGTTCATAACACCTGAACAATGGATGCCCTCTAGTCCTGATGCGGCACCAATGGACTATTTCTTCTGGGGTTATCTCAAGAAACGATTGAATAGAAGAAAAATAACCAAAATATCTTCCCTTAAAAAAGCTATTAGAGAAGAGGTCAAGAAAGTGCCGCAAAATATGATCAACAATGCACTGAAGAGTTGGAGCCGCAGATGTCGTCAAATCTACTATAATAAGGGTCTTCATATCGAAAAATATGGTTAATTTTAATTAATAAATTTAATTGTTATTTAACTTTGAATTTGTTCACAAGTTCATCCAATGTCCCTGTATATATTGTATAATATAATCGATAAATAAATAAATAGTTAGTTTTTATAGATTTAAGCTTATGTAGCTAAGCACCGGTATGATGTACCATAACTCTAAAACTATAATAAATATCTAAATTCTGATAATGTGAATTTAAACTAGGTAAAAATTCATTAGACACGCGTTTCGGTAATTTTTTTTAAATTAATAAATTTTAAACAAATAAAATGTAAAATTTGTGATTTTTTGATATTTTCTAGAAAAAAAGTGTCAAGTAATTTTTTATGGGATTAATCTATTATTATTTTTTATTTTATAAGGAATAATTATTATTTTTACAATTTTTAATTATCATGCTTAGTTTTTGAAATATTAATGAAAAACATTTTTTTACCATTATATAAATTTAGTAACAAATATCATTAATAAAATGTTATAACAAAAAAATTATATAATCGTAAAAATGTTTTTCTTTAATATCTCAAAAACTAAGCATGATAATTAAAAATTGTAAATATAATAATTATTCCTTATAAAATAAAAAATAATAATTGATTAATCCCATAACAAAATAACTTGAGGTTTTTTTCTAGAAAATATCTAAATATCACAAATTTTACATTTTTTTAATTTTTTGTTTAAAAGTTATTTACTTTATGTTAATGTATTACAGGTGCCATAAATACTCCACAACTGCTTATGCTGTCAGGCATAGGACCGGCAAATCACTTGCGTAACCACTCTATACCAGTGTTGGCCGATTTACCGGTCGGTATTGGTCTAAAAAATCATCCGCAAACTGGATTCCGATTGTTTATAAAAAATGATTCATTAGTGACAACCAGTCGACAAAATAGTATGAATGCACTGACTGTTGCCAATCTTGACCAATGGTTTACTAACGGCTCGGGACCGTTAAGCCAATTCTACACCACTATTACCTATTTGAATAGTCGTAACAATAAAGACAAAAAATGGCCAAATCTGGGAATAGATGGACATCTATTAACTCTAACCACTCCTGACGTCCAGATATGGTCGAACTCATATCATGATATTAAAGGATGGACACAATATCTGGAAAAGTACGCCAATCGGTATTATATTTTATTTTGTGCTTTTCATCAATTGCCACGAAGTTATGGTCGGGTATACCTACGATCCAGTAATCCGTTTGACGCACCGGTAATAGATCCGAAACTACTGTCTCATCCGAAAGATATGGACGAGTTTGTTGAGTCCATAAGGTTTACACTATTACTAGCCGAACGGTCATCACTGACACAATACTTATTGCCATTGCATCCCATTCCCGGTTGTAAGGCTTGTCCGCACACATCATATCTACATCGTTGCAATTCATACATCAGATGTCATATACGACAAGTGGCCTCAACTGTACACCACGACTCCTGTACCGTACGTATGGGTGATCCCCGTAGTAATAACACAGTGTTGGACCCCCGGCTACGTGTTAAAGGTTTCAACAGATTGCGAGTATGCGACGCATCAGTGTTTCCCAATATACCCAATGCTAATATAAATGCTGCCACTTTTATGGTCGGCGAAAAGTGTGCCGAAATGGTCAAAGAGGATAATTATTATTTATAAATTATTATTTTAAATTATTGTTTTTTTTCAATGCTATTTTTGTCAAACATACTGTATATGTAAATTAAAAATTAAAACATATTTACTAATTATATAATAATAATAATTATCTTTAATGTACTGTATATATCAACTTCAATGGTGAAGCGTTAAATTATTTAAAAATTAATAAACTGATTAATTAACACCAGTAGGTAATTTAATAAATTAGTTAATATTATTTTAATAATTATTATTATTAAATATTATAATTATTATTATTATTAAATATTATAATAACTAAAATCTATTATGATAAATTTGAATATATGACAAAGATGTTATAATTAATTTTGGTGTCATAATATTGATTATACAATAATATATAATTTATTCAGTTTATACTATATATACCATATATATACAAATATTAAAATTATAAATTAACAAATGTTTTAACTAATTAAATTATTATACTGTATAAGGTTATTATTATTTAATGCATTAATTTCAAGGTATTTACAGTATGTAAAGCAATTTATGTAATAATTAGCTAAATTACAAAATTATAATTACAGAATTTATATTCAATTAACATATAATGAAATGTAAAAATTTGTTTAACTAATGACTATTGAATATAAAATATACTTTATATTTACAACGTGCAAAAAAATAGCAAATTATTAATAAAATAAAAATTTTAAATGATTTAACATTTTTTAATATATTAGTTTATAACTAGAATTTAATTGTAAATTATATTTTTTATTATAATAAATGGCTATTAGTCTGGCATCGCAAGTGATAGCAGTTTCTGCGGCACTCATTAGTCTTGACTATAGTCACAGATTTACTGCCCGACCTGAACCACCTAAAGCTGAATATGACTATATAGTTATAGGTGCGGGAACTGGTGGTGCTACAGTTGCAGCACGATTAAGCGAACTGTCCAATGTTCAAGTATTACTACTGGAAGCCGGCGGACCGGGAAATATAGAATCGGATGCACCGGCAATGGCAAACATGATCATCAAAGGCCAATGGAATTGGAACTACACTAATGTTAAACAATCGGTTGGTATCGGTTGGAAAAATCAAGTCATACCAGAGCACAGGTATGCAAAATATTTATTAATATTATTTATCAAATCATATGATTATTAAGTAATTTTTTATTATGTATTTAAATAATAATATTTTCAGAGGCTATGGTCTGGGAGGAACTTCATCTATTAATTCTATGGTATTTAATAGAGGCAACAGTCGTGGTTACGATGACTGGGCTAATAGATACGGTGCTACCGGTTGGGGTTGGGATGATGTTCACCAGTATTTTATGAAATGGGAAAATAATACGGATAGTAAAATTGTCAAGGACAATCCTGATTGGCACAGTACTAAAGGTCCGGTGCAGGTCAGCTCATTTAAAAATCCTGATCCTATTTATCAGTTAATGGTTCGAGCAAACAATGAGTTAGGCTACCCGACCACTGATATCAATGGTCCCAAACAGGTTGGAGTGGCTATTAGTCAATCATTTACTACTGTAAGAGGTGTGCGATCCAGTTCCTCAAATTCATACCTTGAGGGTAAACGTCGGCCTAATCTTGACATTAGTGTTTACTCACGTGTAATTCGACTGCTATTTAAAGGTCTCGCGGCTACAGGTGTTCAATATGTTAAAAATGATGTCACATATGTTGCAAAAGCAACAAAAGAGATCATTGTAAGCGCCGGTATGTTTTTGTATCAAAAAATTATTTTATAAACACGTAGCTTATAATTTACATTTAACTGTATGATTATCTGTAAACTTATAAGTTGATTACAACAATTTTCAATATATAGATAAATATTATTGCTAACAATTTCAATACAATCTACAGGTGCCATAAATACGCCACAACTGCTTATGCTGTCCGGTATAGGACCGGCACAACACTTACATCACCACTCAATACCTGTTTTGTCCGATTTGCCCGTCGGTGTTGGTCTGAAAAATCATCCGCGTATTGATTTACGAGTATTGATCAAAAATGATTCATTAGTCACAACCAGTCGACAGCAGGATCTCAATTCACTAACTGTTCCCAATCTGTACAAATGGTTTACATACGGTTCGGGACCGTTAAGCGAGTATCACAACACAGTTACCTTTTTAAACAGTCGTAACAATAAGGATAAGAATTGGCCGGATTTATCGGTTGAGGTACGACTACTCTATCAGCCAACTGATATCCAATCATCGGCTCAGTCTTTCGATGATGTTTACGGTTGGACTGAGTATCTGAAACCGTACGCTAATAGGTATTACTTTCAAATGATGCCAATACATCAGTTACCGAGAAGCTCTGGATATGTACAGCTAAAATCCAGCAATCCATACGATGCACCCGTAATCAATCCGAAACTACTGTCCCATCCGAAAGATATGGACGAACTTGTTGAGGTCATACGTTATGCTCTATATATGGCCGAACGGTCATCACTGGCCCAATACTTATTGCCATTGCGTCCGATTCCCGGCTGTAATGCCTGTCCGCACACATCATATCTATACGAATGCGATTCATACATCAAATGTCAAATAAAACAGATAACGTGGACTGTCTATCACGACTGTTGTACTGTACGTATGGGTGATCCATACAGTAAGGACACAGTGTTGGACCCTCGACTTAAGATAAAAGGTTTGCATAGACTACGAGTCTGCGACGCATCGGTGTTTCCCAATATACCCAATGCTAACATAAATTCGGCCACTTTTATGGTCGGCGAAAAATGCGCCGAAATGATCAAAGAGGACAACCATTAAAATCATTAAATTTTATAAATTTTAACATTATAATTTATTGATTTACCAATTTAATATACTGTATATTATTATTATTATTATTTAATATTTATTGTAATTATAAGTACAATAATTTGTATTGTAAACAAAAATCTATTATACTAAATTATTTAAGTATAATTTAAAAAAATATTTGAAAATTGTTTTATTGTTATTAAATTACATAATCTTATAAAAAATAACTAATTAAAAGTTAAGTTATTTATCAGTATTTTTTGAGACTCATTATTTTGATATCAGTTTTTAAAAAACTAACTTTATAAACACATAGTAATAATAATAATCAATTATATTTTGCTTAAACATTAATAATAATAATATAATCAGTAATAACCTGATATTTTGCAGAATAATACTCAATTTAAAAACTACATTATAATAAAAAAAACAATTACAATAAACTTTAATAAATTAGTAATCTTTAGATCGATTTTTATATAAATACTATTTTTTTATTTTTTTATAATTGTAAATAAATTACAAAAAACTAATCAATATCGTCTAGGTCTTTTTGGACACTCACTATGACAGGCCGCCTGACAGGCCCGTCGGTTTGGGTATCTGTTGGCATTACCGCCGCACCCGCCGTAATAAAATACATCGCACGTGGCTTTACTGGGATTGCAATAATATTGAGGTATATTTCCTCTGCACATACCCTCGACAGGACGGGACGTACAGTCTATATCTTTATCAACATCTTTATCCTCTGAATACATAATTTAAAAAAAAATGATACAAAAAATATAATTAAATTATTAATATATTTATAATTAAAATAGATTTTAGAATTTTTTGTTGTTGTTAGTAATATATATAAATTATATATATCAAAGTTACACTAATTTCTATATATATTGTAGTTTATATACAGTATATATAAATAAATAATAAAATATCAAACCTGATAAGTCTAATCCAGGTCTATAGTATGAAATAACGTCACTTTTGCTATCATTATCACCACTACGATCACCACTCATACTAGCACTACCACCACTACTCCTACTATTACTACCACCACTACTACGACCACCACTCCTACTGGACTTAGATGGTGTATCATCGGGTAAATTACTACTACGGTAATTACGAATTTCTACTGTATCTTGATTATTTTCTATAAATATATATATATTATTAATTTAAATAAAATTATGCTAGCTGCTTTTTTTTTAAAAAAAATAATGTTATGCTTAAATATGAATTTATAAAAATTAGTTGTTTTGTTTGTTTGTTTAAATAAATTACCATCGTTCATAAATAAACTTCCACAATTTGTATAATCAAAATTGTTTGCAATGATGATAACATTTAACATTAAAAATGATATCGTTTTAGTTTTAAACGCCATTTTAAATGTTTGTATATTGTATAAATATATTTATTTATTTTATAAATAAACATATGATCTCATAAAGTTTAACATAATAATAATAATAATTATAAAAATTAATTTTCCACTATTTTACATTTACATTATTCAATGTACATTACATAATACAGTATAAATTAATATTTATTCTATCATTATACTAAAATATTTGAAAGTTTTATTAGTTTATTAGTCTTAAATTATTTAAATATATTACTGATAATTGTTATTAATATTCAATACTAATTAATTGTTATTTAAATATTTTGAAAAAAATAATATACACTATAAGTGATTATTACTGTATAAATTATATTTAATTAAAATAAGGTTGAATATAAATAATAATAGTAATAATTAATAATAATAATAAAAATCTAATAATTTTCCAAATAATACTTTTTCATAATTTTTTTATAGTTTTAATGATGGCATATATGTCCACAATTACTATAGCACTCGGTTTCATTGTAATAGTTATTGCCATTACCACCACATCCACCATAGATAAACTGTTGGCACATACCGGAGCTTGAATTACAAAACCAATTTCTAAATAACGCTTTGCACTCTCCTGTTTCGGGCATTGATTTACAATCTTGAATAATAATTAACAACAACAACAAAAAATAATAATAAATATTATCAATGATTTTATCAAGTAAAAATTTTTCAATACTATATTTATTTTTATTTTTATAAAAACTAACCTGGATTCATTAGCACAATAGTATAGATATAACTACCAATAATGCATAATGCAAATAGTATATTTAATATTTTAGACATTATTACTATTAGTATTATTGTTATTGAGTTAAATTACAATTGATTTTATAATAGTGTGACTAGACTTTATAAGTTTAAACTGCTATTTAGTTATTATTATGATTGGGTAACAATTATTATATTATTAATTGATTACAATGGTTAAATAAACCTATTATGTAAAAAAATATATTACACTGCATATTGTTTTTCAATATTACCTTATAAAGTATGTACACGTACTGTACTTTATTATGATATCAAATAGTTTACGTAAATAATAAAATCATTGCCATTAGATAATTTTAAAAATTTCGTAATAACAAATCAATTATTATATTAGTTAAAAAAAATAGTTTTGTTATGCATGTACTGTATTGCATATATTTTATTAGTGTATGTAATAATAGTATAATGTTTAAAAATAATCAAAATATGTTTTATATTCATTATTAAAATAATTTTTAAAAAATTATTATTTACATATTATTATAATATTTTATGCATTATACAATAAAATACATAAAAACATAAATGTTTACATAATAAAATATTTTTTTTTCTAAAAAAAACTTTTTAACTTTAACTTAAAATTAAAATAGATTTATTGATTTATTAAATTTATATATTTTTAGCACGTATTTCTAAATACTTAATATCAGTATTTTAAATAAATAAATAAATATTATTAGTATTATTTAAATTTCTAGATTATTGATCTACAGGTGGACTCCAGCCCTGTAATTACATTTAGTATAGCATTCATTTGCAGTGTGAAAGTTATTGCCGTTTGTTAGACACCCGCCATAAACATATGGTTCGCATCTACGGGTTCTCTGATTACAATACCAGCGCTGTTCACGAGTACCGCAATTACCAGTTACTGGTTTTGATTGACAATCTATATATTAATGTGAATATTTGCAATAATAATAATAATAATAAAGAAATAATTTTTGTTATTTATTATTTTTAATAATAAGTTTATTATTATACAAATAAAAAAATTATAAACTAACCTGGTAATATTTGTTTCGTAAAATCAATATTAATGATTAAAATAATTAAAATAATGGTAGTTAACATTGTGATCAACAAATTATAAACTTGTAATATTTTTTCATTTACCATTTAGCTATATTTAACTACAATATAAGTGTTATGTTTATGCTGTAGTAATATTTATTTATTTTTTAGCTAAAGTAATTAAAATAATTATAAATTACTCAGCATTTATGTAATGATTAATTGGTAAAAACACTATATTTATATTAGACTTATAAGTTATAACTCATTTAGAGTTATTTGTAAAATTTTAAATAATATTTTAATTTTCAAAAGCTGTAAAAATTGAATTTGTATTTAAAAATAATAATACTGTATAATTATTATAATAAGTTTGATTTTATTATATATTTTTACACAAAAAAAGGTGATAAATTATCTCAAAAGTAAAAATTTAAAAAATTCAGATTTTTACTATTAATTACATTAAAATAAAATAACTTATTTAATAATAAAAATATTAATATCATATTTTTCATTTAGTATAGTTTAAATTGTATTAGATTAGAAACTATTTTTAAATTAATACATACAGTAATAGAAAAAAACTAAACTATTTATATTTACAATGTTTATACTACGGCACTATATTATGTTAAATTATTATTTTAATTAAAAAAACTAATAAATCAAGTTTTTTTTGTATATTTTCAAATTAATTAATCAATTTTTAAAACATAATTTGTTAACAAAGTTAAGTGTATAAATAAAAAATTTAGTAATTTATTTGTGACATTCATAGTTACATATATTATAACATATAATTTCATTGTGATAGTTATTGTCATTACTACCGCACCCGCCATAAATAAATTCATCGCATCTACCGGTGCTCTGATTGCAATACAAGCGGGGAATGTAAGAGTTAAACATATACCTGATTCCTGTAGTGATATACAATCTTGACATAAAATACCGTAAATAAACATTTTTTATATTAAATTTAGATTAGAAAACTATTATATTTAATATATAAGTTTATTAGATACTTAATTTGTTAAAAAAAACTAACCCAATTTCAATCATTTCACCATGTATAGATTATAAATTATAACTAATCTGGATAATAATAATAATACAAGTTTACTATTCATGCTACAATTATATATATATATATATATATTTATACAAATATACTTGAAATTAAAATTCAATATCTTTTATTTAAAATATAATTTTAGCTTTTATACATTATAGTAAACACTAAATTAATTTTTTATAAATAAATATTCATACATTACCTTCACAATTATTAATAATGCAAAAACAATAATAATATGTAATTTGAAATTACATTGCAAAATCTAGCCAACAAATTAAATATCCAATTTTTATTATTTTTTGTTGTCAATGAATTGAAAATATTTTTATTTAACAATTATTAATATCATATTAAAATAATTATTTTCTAATTTTTTTAAATCTATTTATTTATATAATTAAAATTTTAATGTTATTTATATTAATTTTTTATTATTTACTAACTCTTAATCTTACATTATAATAAAGTATAATATAATATATTTAATTTTTTTTAAATATAAAATAAAATATTACACTATATAAATATTAAAGTATTATTAATTAATACTTTAAATTAACTAAATTGTTTATAAACATAAAAATATTTTTTTAATCACAAAATTTTTAAAAATTAAATTAATGAGTAGAAAATATATGAAAATATATTGTGGATTAGTTTAACATAATATTAATAATAATTTTTTTTTAAATATAATTATTTCTAAATGTTAGGACATCCAGACTTGTAATTGCAAACGAAGTAACACTGGCTTTCATTGTAGTAGTTATTGCCATTACCACCGCAGCCGCCATAAACAAACGGTTCACATCTACCGGTGCTTGGATTGCAATACCAGCGCTTTTCGTGGGCTTTGCAGTTACCCATAAATGGTAGTGATTGACAATCTATACATTTTAAAATAAAAAATTTCATTAAAGTCTATTATTTTTATAATTATTAATTAATAAAACACTAACCTAATAACAATTGATCGGTTAGCTGAATATAAATATAAACAATATATAATAAAATTAATATTAAACGCATTTTTAATGTTATTAAAATGTTAAAATTTAATATATATATATATAAATAATTAAACAAAAAACAAAAATAAAAAAAAATTGTATTTTTGCTTAGAAAACATATTATTAAATTACCCAATATTTTATATTGAAATAAATATTAATGCAGTTTTTATTTTGTAGTAATAATAATAATCAATAATAATCAATATATTAATAATTAAAAATTAAAAATTACTCAGCATTAATCATAAAAATAGTCATATGATTAAAATTACAATTTATTTATTTCAACAAAAAAAATTAATAATACTTTTCTCAAACAGTTTTGTAGTATATGTTAAAATAAATTTATAATTATTTAAATACATAATGTTTTATTTTTTATTTATTTGTGACATTTATAGTTACAAATACTATAGCACTCGGTTTCGTTGCGATAGTTATTGCCATTACCACCGCACCCGCTATAGACAAACTGTTCGCATCTACCGGTGCTTGGATTGCAATACCAGCGCCGAATATAGGCTTTACACATACCTGTAACCGCTGGAGATATACAATCTGATAAAAAATTATTATTTTAATATATATATATATAGATATTAATAACTAGTTTTTAAAAAATATTTATCTAACCAAGTTTCAATAAATCTACCATGTATAAATAATTAATAATCACAAATATAAATAATAATATTAACTTATTAGTAGACATGTTTCCAGTAAACTATATGATAAGTATTAACAAAAATACTAAATATAATAAATTAAAAATATTTATATATTTATAAAATAGTGATTACTTCATATAAATATTATTATACAGTAGTACTGTAGAAAAACATTAAATAATAATTATAATTTGCAAAATAATGTAGTAATTAATTACATTGAATTGCTAAACAATGCTAAAAACTTAATTAAAAATATAAATAATGAATTTTTAATAATACAGTATAACATTATTACTAATAGTAATATTAAACAATTATTGTATCATATATTATAAAAATATTATATGATATAATAATTGTTTTTTTTAAATAAATTTATCTATTAATTTATTTAAATACAAATTTTTCAATTTAAGCTATATTACCTAATACTGTAATATTTTTCATTTCTAACAAATAAATTAATTATTTTTAATTAAAAGTTTTAAACCTAAAAAATTATAGTTTATTAATATTATTTTTACATTGCATAAAAATTAATAATCATAAATATTATGATAATAATCTATTACAGTATAAGATAAATGTTGTACTTTAAAAAAAATATTAAATATTTAGAAATTATTTTGAATAATTAATTTTTTTTTCAAAAAAATTTATTTATGACATATAGTTTTACAATTAGTATAGCAATCATCTTCAGTCTTATAGTTGTTATCATTGCCACCACAACCTCCATATATAAATGTCTCACACCTACCGGTGCTGGCATTACAGTAATAGCGAACCTTTGATGCCTTACACTGACCCGTCTTGAAAGGAGAGGAACAGTCTATCAATAAAAATAAAATTGAAAAATTAATTTTTTTAATTTAAATATACATTTGTGTAATATATGTTTTAAATGTCTATTTTTTACCTCCATTTGCTAAATGAATACTTAAGATAACTATCATAAATGTAGTCATCATTAAAATAAATGTCTTGTAAAACATTTTATAATACTGTCTAATACTTATTATCTGTAAAATATAAATAACTATTTAAAAAAAATTAAACATTAGTGTTAAGAGCTTTAATTAATTAAATATAATAATTTAAATGAAAGGACATAGACCAGATGGCAAATTTATTTTTTTTAAACTTAATCAAAACCTAATATTTAAAATTAGATTCAATATTTAATTATTATTTTTTTTTAAAAAACGTTTAAAATATTTACAGAAAACACGCCTCTTTAATTAAATACTTAAATAATATATTTATTTTCTTGAACATAATAATTAAAAATAACACTTTTATTTCATACATTTAGCATTACAATTAAATACTAGTAATCATTAAACTATATAGATTTTTCTAACAAATAAATTAATTATTTAGTAATTATAATTTAATAATGTATTTTTTGTATAAAATAAAAATTGATAATAAATACTTAGATAATAAATTAATCAAATTATTTTTATAAATATTATACTGCAATATTATTATACCAGTATACTCTAATTATTTTGTTATTTTATTTATTTTTTTTCAATTTATGAATGACCTATAGTTGTTATCATTGCTATCACAGCCTCCATAGCTAAATAGTTGACACCTACCGGTGCCGGTATTTCTTAGCAGCCTTACATATACCCGTGACAGGAGGCGAGAAACAGTCTACTAATATAAATAATAAAATAATATAATTAAGCTTTTTATTTATTTATTACAATTTTTTTTTTAAAAAATACGTATAATTTTACCCTTATTTACCAAATCAAAACTAAAAATAATAAAAGCAATCAGTGTAATAATTGTTTTGTAAATATTCAGCATATATTGCTAAACAAAATAAATTAACATAAAAAATTTATAATTAAAATTTTATTTATTGATTAACATTAAATATTTCAATAATTAAATAATTTCTTTATATAGCATAAGTTAATTTTTTATATGTATTAATAAAATATATGAATAAATAAATAAATATTAATATTAATTGTATTTTTCTAGAAATTATGATTAAATTTTTACTACATTATATTTGTTAATGATTGTTAATTTGATAGTTTTAATTAAATATTAATATTAAAATAATTATAATACAGTATTTGATATTTATTATGAAAACAGCATTTTTTATTAAAAAAAATGTCTGAAATAAAAAGTGTTATCATTATAATTACAATTAACCTAATTGTTTGCGCAAATTGTGTTTATGATCTAATAGAGGATCGCATAAAAAGGGTTCGTCAGGATATCATCAAATGGGCCGACGATAATCCCAATGATGTCGACACCTATGACTTGGAGCACATCAAAGCTAAAGATTTTATTATCGAAAGATATCTTATGGAATATAATTGTATTGTTTATAATAATAATAATAATAATTAGAAAACTTAAACTTATTTATAAAATTATTATTAAAATTAAACATTTTTTGTTTGATTTAACAATTAATTAATTAATTTAAAAAAAAAACATTTGTATTATTATAATTATTATTATTATTAGTTGGTGAGAAAGAGGCAATGGATAAGATTATAAGTGCACTGAAATTTTACAAAAGTGAAGGTTTGGCCCAATTGGATGACCAGTATTTTCCATCAGAATTTTACGCCACCGGTTGGCTTATCCGTCACGGAGTGTCCAAAACGGGCGGTTATATCGTCGGCTTTTGTAATCGATGTATGGTTCCCTATAATGATGTCAGTTGGAAGATGTTTGAATTGGGCCGCAAATTTGTTGCCTATTTTCTCTATAAAAATCGTATGGAATTAGATAAAGGACCCCGACTTGGCTACAATGCTATGAATGATACCGGTATTGTCCACATAGATATCAGTATGTATTTATTAATGTATATGATTATAATAATTATTAGATTTTTTTGTTGTTAACTATTTTTGTTATATCATATTAAATACTGTATGTATATATAATTTTTTGATTTTTTAGGATTAGTCAAATTTATAGCTGAATATCTAAACTATTATATGCCGCAAACATCGCTTACCTGTATTGTTACAGACATGCCATTTGCAGTGGCCGTACCGTTCAAACTGGTTGTCAATCTACTGTCACCGAAATTTAAAAACAAAGTCGTCTACACAAAGATGAGTGATATCGGCAGTTGGATCGATACTAAAGAAATACCTCAATATTGTGGCGGAAAATACAAGAATTTTTCCCGAATACCTGAAGGCGTCAAAAGTGGCAAATGTTTGACTCATTTGAATCACATTCCAGCAAAAGATTGGATTGAATTTAGGAAACAGAATATTAAATGTATTAAAGAAGGGATGAGAGATATGGGCATCAAATCTGTTATTAAATATCTTAATATTGATTGTTAGCATTAAATTATATTATAATTTATGTTAATCTTTAATCTTAATCTCTATCTTTAATATATTTATATAATTAATCAAATAATTTATTTAAAAAACATATTCTATAATATCTATAATACTATCTTATATTAAGTATATACTCTAGAAAATAAAAATGTTTAGTATTTTACAATATAATATTAATAATACCATAAAAAATATCAAATTAATTTGCAAATTATAAAAATTAATATAAATAAACCTAATATACAGTATATATTCAATAGAAACTAAATTAAATTTTTTTTATTAGTGAAAACAAGTTTTATAATAGCAAAAATTGTGAATATTTTTCAAAAGAATTAATAATTTTTATACATATTAATATTAAAATAAAAAAAACTAAATAAATTACACGTCCGCGACAGGACTCGAACCTGCAATCTCCTGATCCGGAATCAGATGCCTTATCCATTAGGCCACGCGGACTATAGTAAAATTTCAATATAATTTATGAATGTAATGATTAAAAATCAATATTAATTTATTATTAGTAATATATTTTATAAATATATTTATTGTTATCTTTAAAATAGTTAATATATAATTATTATATACTTGATATATAAATTAAAGTATATATTTAAATTTTTTTGTAAAATACTGTATTATAATATTATAAGTACTTTAATGTATTAAGTTTATGATATTTATGATATTATACAATTAATATTTATTTATTTTACTAGAGTATAATAATTTTAAAAATTTAAGCTATACTACACTAATAATATTAATAACAAATTTCTAACAAATAAATTAATAATTTTTAATTTAAAGTATTAAACAATAAAAATTATAGTTTATTAATATCATTTTTACATAGCATAAAAACTAATTAAAAATATTAAGATAATAAATTAATCTATTATATGATATTATAAATATTGTACAGCAAAAATATAAATTTATAGATTTACTAAATCAAAACTAAAAATAAAAAGGCAGTGTAAATCAGTGTAGTCATTAAAATAATAGTTTTGTAATAACATTGTAATTTTTATTAATATAAATTATTATTAAATATATTTACTAGAAATAATGGTTCTAAATTATTATTTTTTTTGTTAATAATTATATACTAATAATTAATTAATTATTTTAGTAAAATAAAAAAATAAATAAAAAAATATATATTTATATATAAAAAATGGAAATATTCAGCACAAGTGGCCGAAAAAAAATCAAACATTTATATAATATTTAATTTTTACAATTAAATTTCATTATAGCATAATTATATTTTTTTTAAATAATAATATAACAATATCTTTCGTTATTTGTTACATTTAATGCTACAATTAGTCAAGCAATCGGTTTTATTGTAAAAGTTATTGTCATTACCACCGCACCCGCCATAAATAAATTGTTCACATCTACTGGTGCTTGAATTACAATACCAGCGCTGAAAGTTACCATAACATGTACCTGAATCTGATTGTGATATACAATCTGATAATAACAAAAATATTAATTATATTATATTTTAAAGACTAATTTTATATACTAACCTTGATTCAATGAGTTTAACATATATAGATTATAAACAATCACAAATAAATAAACTACTATTACTTTAGCTGACATATTGTTACACTGTATTTAAAAAAAATACTTTATCTATTGAATAATTTAAATAATAAAAATTGAATTAATAGAAAAGTGTTTACAGTAATACTTAACAATAATATAAACTAAATTATTATATTATATTATTAATATTATTATTATTATATAGCTATGCACAAAAAAGCAATTATAATATACGGGCAATTAATTATTTATTTATAGAATTATAAGGCAAAATTTTACTGTTAAATAAATTTTATAATATCTATAAAAAAATAATTTATATTTTATTATTATTAAAATATTTTTATGTTATTATTAATAATAAAATATAAATTATTTTTTTATTATTAAACCTAATTAGTTTTATTTTTGTAACAAACAAACTAATTTTTATTATATTGTTATAATGAATCATTAATGAGGTTTATGTATTACAAATTTACAATTATAATATTATTTGTTTTCACGAATTCCTGAAAGGAATACGTATATGAATTCTATAAGTCTGTCTGTCCCATTCGAATCCAGGCTCAGCTACGCATTTTTTTTGTTTTTTTTGTTTTTTTTTTGTTTTTTTTTATTTTTTTTATTTATTAAGTTTATTTTTAAGCAAAAAAAAACAAAATGGTGTCCAATAATTAATAATAAAAAAAATTAAAAACTTTTTTTTTAATTTTTTTAAAAATTTTTTTTTGAATTTTTTTAAAGTTTATTTTATCAAGAACATAGAGAAAATTGTGTTAAAATTTTTAAGTTTAGATTTGTGTAAATTACTAATTAAAATTAAAAAAGTAAGTAAATTTCATATATTTTAAATGTTTTATTTTTTAAGTTTATTTTTAAGCAAAAAAAAACAAAATGGTGTCTAATAATTAATAAAAAAATTTGATTTTTTTTGAATTTTTTTAAGTTTATTTTATTAGGAACATAGAGAAAATAGTGTCAAAAACTTTTTTTTGATTTTTTCTTTTTTAAGTTAAGGAATTCGTATGGAAATGCTTTTGAAGCATTCTCAACTGGTTTAATATATATTTAAAACTTGATAACTTTAAATTTTGTTTATGAATTTTATTTTTAAAAATATAATTTAAACATTACGTTTGAGTGGAACTAATAAATTTTATTACAATTTAAATTAAAAATTTATTGTTTTAAATATTATTTTTTTAATGAATTCATTTTAATAAAACTTTTTATAATAAATCTTTTTGAATAATAAAATAATCCATTAAAATATTATTTTTATTAGTAATCATTAAGTTTATAAATAATTAATTTATAACAAATACTAAAAGTATGAGTTATGTAAAGTTAGTTAAGTATAAGTTAAATACTATACAGTATATTACTATTATAAGTAAAAAAGTAACATTAAAAGCTAGACAAATTAAATAATACATATTAATATAACATTTTAATAATATTATAACAAACAAATAATTATTTAAAAAATGTATTTAATTTTAATACTAATAATGATAAATGGCAAATGATAATGATAAAAAACTAAACTTTTATATTAAATATCAATTATTTAAACTTTATAAATAAATTATTATTTGCATATTTTTTTGAAAAACAAAATAATTTTTTTATTATAATAATATTGTTTTTTTCAAATTAATATTTTAACTTTACTTTTTAATATTATACATGATCTAATAATAATAACTGAAATCAAAATTTTATGGATAGTTTTTATTATAATTATTTAAATCCCAATTAGAATTAATATCATATCTAGTATTCTGATTGTTATTATTAATAATAAGATCGATTGGATATACCGATTCAACTCCACTACCACTACTGTTACCATAATATCCATATACTGTCGGTATTTGTAAATTAGTTGAACCATTACCAGTGTCTATCGTACTGACCATCGATACGACTGTGCTCGACGACCTATGTCTGAGCTGATAACAGTCATAGGCAAACCAAAAGGCCAGTCCAGATATCAGATAACATACAATAATTTCCACTAACCATACACTATTGGCCAGTGATAACTTAACGACTATACAAGATATGGCAAACATAACTATGCCAAACGCCAGAACCAGACACATATTCTCTCTACAGGCGCCTACCAAACCCATGATCTTAATTAAGATACCAACTACCGAGATTACAATCACTGTTGTCCTTATTGATTGTAATTGATTTGTTATTTTCAGCCGCTGTTCATCATTATGTGCCCTATCATCGACACTGTCGTCCACTGTCGAGCATACTATAGCTATGTTTATGATGGACAGTATGATCAGTGCCGCACATACTGTAAATAGTGTCCATTTGCGCCATTGAAAGCCGCATGACTTGTAATAATCGTTATCCGGCTGATCGGTTGATTCATACATTTATCAGTTTTTTTAATTTGATAAATAATTAAGATGCTAGCTCAAATTAAAATGTTTTTTATTTAAATATTATATACAGTTTATATACAGTATATAACTGTATTAAATCATTTTAAGACTCTGGATTGACATTTAAACTTTTATTTTTTGTTTACACATTTATAAATGTTTGTTTGACTATTTAAAAAAATTAATTTCTCTAAAAATATGATTTAATTAATTGAAAAGTGTTTATATTGTAACAAATTTATTGTGTTTTATATATGTTATTATTATTAGTATTTTTAAATGTCAATTCAAATGTTTCGCTATAATCACTATTTATTTTTATTTTATCTATAGTAAAGACAACATGCTGATGAAAACATGCTATTATATAAATTTATAATACTATAATTTATAAATAAAACAAAACAAACAATTAAAATAATTGTATAAATATAATGTTGATTTTTGTCTTAGTTTTTAAAAAATTGACCTTTAATAAAAATAAATCTTTTTTGTAGTATTATTATAAATTAATATTAATTTATTACTGTTTTTAATACTAATTACTGAAAATGTTAAAAAATGTTTAATTAATTATTTTAATAACATATTAATACTAGATAAATACAGAAAAATTTAGATTTATTGGTTTAGAGTACCGTAATTTATTTATAATAAAAGTTTATATAAAATAAGTTTATATAAAATAAGTTTATATTAAATAAGTTTATATAAAATAAGTTTATATAAAATAAGTTTATATAAAATAAGTTTATATAAAATAAGTTTATATATATTAATAGATAAATTATCCAAAATAAAAGATACTCATTAGAAATATTAGTTTTAATTTGAAAAATCTAATTCTTTAGTTTAAAAAAAAGTTAATTAATATCAAATATAACTAAAATTTTGATTTCAATTTATCAATATTGAAACGTTGCCAAAATTTGGACGAATTCTGATTAATATCTGTTGACATATCTAGTTCAGCACCGGTAGGTAAATCTAATTTTGCATTATCACCATTCAATGGCTCACTGGCATCATCCATATCAATTTGTTTACCACCAGTAGTTTGTTTATCAGTGCCACCATCATCATCATCATCATCACCATCATTACTGTTACCCATCCAACGGCGCCAATACAATAGGCCCAGTGCCACAAAAACCAGTATGGCTGCCAACACTATGGGAATCCAGGCCCATACCCATACATTGCCAACCGATGGTATGGCCAATTCAAATTGAAAGCATACTAGATTGCCGGTACTGTTTTCGAGTAAGTTTGTATTGCACAAACACCGTCTATATTTACCGGGTGTACAGTATCTTAAATTATCGCCATTATTCATACAGTCGTAATCGGATTGGCAATCCCTGAACCTACATATCCCGTCGTTTTTGTCATCGTAAAAATTGGGTGCACAGAAGCACAGACCGTCTATACATACTTTACTGTTATTATTATTGCATCCAATCTGGCATGTCGACTCAACCCATGAGCGCTTATGTATACCGTGTTTAATATGATGAGGAAGTGTAGGATTAGGAGAAGGATGCGGATAAGGAACTGGTTCACAATGTATCTGAATTATTTGTATGAAAATATAATAGACAATTATTGTCATACAATAGGACTCGTATTTGAAATACATATTATTTTTGAAAAACTTGTTTTTTTCTAGAACTTTATATGTATTATTGAAATACTAAAATATTATAATAAAACATAGAAATTAAATCTGATTATTAAACGGTTTGCATACTTGAAAAAATAAATTATCATATCTATAAAACAATAAATATTATTTTGTATGTAATTTTATATAAAATAGACTATGAAAAATTATAGATTTGTCAAGGTACTTGAAAGAAATATATTTATTTATATAATCTTATGTAAAAAATTATCTATAAATATAGTATTATTATTATTATATCTAAAAAATTATTATTAAATATTATATAAACTTTAATTATTTTAACCAACAAATTTACAAAATAATAATGATAATTATTATAAAAAATATTAATTAATTTAATATTAAATTACTTTATACACTTATAAGTAAATCTAATTAAATTAATTAACAAATAATAGCAAATTTTAATTAAGCAATGATAATATTGTATTCATTGTATTGTATTGCAACATTCAATATTAATAAGTAATAATATTATAAATAATAAATATCAAGAAATACTTAATATAATATATTATAATTTTATATTATTATTGATTAGATAAATTATAAATAAAATTACAAAAATAAATTATCATTATTTTTATTATATACTGTAACACTTTTATTTAGCTCTAGATTAGCATTTTTAACGAAACAACTATTTAAATAATATTACATTAATTAAAAACATTTATAACAATTGTATTTTCCAATATTTGTTAATAAAAAAAAATAAATTATGTCACAATTTTCAATTACAGGTTACAGTAATAGTGATAAAATAGCTCAACATTTACTAGAAAATATCAAACTGTTTCATGTGTTTGACGACAACATTGGGACAAACCTAGTGTTTGTAACCAACAATGATATTGTCTACGGATTGGGTGCCAATCAGTACGGGTCACTGGGTTTGGGTCACAATCAACAGGTCGACGAACCAGTATGTGTGCCGGAACTTAGTGGCCAACGGGTACAACATTTTACAAATGGCTCGTCATTTGCTATGGCAATCACTGGTGATCATCAGGTTTACAGTTGGGGACACAACGATTGGGGACAGTTGGCCAGAAAGCGTACTGCCAATCATCAGCATTTAAAACCGGAAAAAATTATGTTTCCAAACAATGAAACAATAAATCAGTTAAGTTGCGGACAATTTCACACATTGGCGCTGACCACTCGGGGAACGGTATACGCTTGGGGTAACAATTGTGATGGACAGTTGGGCTGTGGTATGCCTATGACAAGATCGAGTATATCAGATAGACCGGCACTGGTATGTTTCAAGCCTGGCACCTATATTGTCGATGTCTATGCTAGCAAGTTTTGCTCGTTTGCTATCACCAGTGAGGCCCGGGTATACAGTTGGGGTCAAAACAGTTATCACCAGTTGGGCCACAAAGACAAACAATCATTAGCTAAACCAAAATTAGTGCACAAATTAAAGCGCGTGCAACGTGTTTGTCATTCGTGGTCAACATGTGTCAGCTATTTTTTGACAATATCGGGACAGTTGTATTGTTGTGGTATATTCAAAGAGGGTAACACTCAAACCTTGTTATCGGTACATCCTAAATTGATAAATAATAATAATAATAATAATACTAGTAGTAGTAGTAGTATTAAATTTTGTAACATGTATGATCTACTTGTGTATAAATGGGAAAAAACATTAATAAATCCCGTCACGGAAAACAGGATATTTTCTATAGTAAATGGTAGAGATGTCGTTGAAACTAATTTTGATAATATTGGCGACTATTATAAACATGAGTGTCGTATGACTTATGATACATGCAAAAATGTACTAGTTGATAATAATAATAATAATAATGACAATAATGATAAACAGAGTAAGTTTAATATTAAGTAATAAGAAATTTAGTTATTATATATATATACTTAATATATAAAAAGTAAGTTATCACGAATTCCTGAAAGGAATACGTATATGCATTCTATAAGTCGGTCTGTCTGTCGGTCTGTCTGTCCCACGAGGACATAGGTTCGAATCCACTATCCGCTACAATTTTTTTTGAATTTTTTTTTGTTTTTTTTTCTTATTTAAGTATATTTTTTAGGAAATTGAAGAAAATGGTGTCCAAAAATTAATTTAAAAAATTTTGAATTTTTTTGAATATTGATTTTTTATTTTTTTCGGTTTTAAGTTTAATTTTTAGGAAAATAGTAGTTTATTTTGTAATACTGAATCATTTGATACCCCACATGATTATAGTTGTTTATTTTGTCATACTAAATCGTTTGATACCCTACATAACTATAGTTGATTTTATTTTATCATACTGAATTTAATTTTTAATTATGATTAGTAATTCGTGTGGAAATGCTTTCTAGCATTCTCAACTGGTTTTAATATTATTTTTTTTTTATTTTTGAATTTATAGCATCAAATCATAAACTAATTGATAATCATTTTGTCGATATTGTCAAACTGGGTGAGGGAGCCTTTGGACAGGTATTCAAAGCGAGACAAAAATCAGACAATTGTTTGTTTGCCATCAAAACTATTTATATGGATGGTTAGTTAGGTTATGATAACAAATATATATATATATATATATATATATATATATATATATATATATATATATATATATATATATATATATATATATATATATATATATATATATATATTTAATATTTCTATAAACTTAAATTATTAAAATACAGTATAAATACTGTACAATATAAAACATTAAATTAAAATATTTTATAAATTAAAATTAGATTATTCATATTTATAATATTAATAATTATTATTATTTTCATTTATTATTTTAAAGATTTATCCGATGAAACCAAACAAAAAGCATTAAAAGAAGCAAAAGGGTTGGCAAATGTCAAATCCAAATACGTTGTCGACTACTGGAACTCTTGGATTGAGGACAACCATCTATACATTCAGATGGAATACTGTACGACAACACTCAATGATTTACTGCAAATCAGATCAAACATATTCAACAGATCCAGTGATCAACCCATGGATTCTCTAGAGTTTTATATGTCGTGCGAATTGTTTAAGGAAGTACTCGAATGTGTCCATTATATACAACAACAAGATATCATTCATCGGGATCTTAAACCAGAAAATATTCTGGTCGTTGATATTACCTATCAATTGCATATCAGATATCTACGATTGGGTGACTTTGGACTGGCCATTGAAACTAACAGTCCGCACAAAACATCCGGTAGTCCTCAATATATTGCACCTGAAGTTAGTAGAGGTGTAAAAAATACTAAAAAATCTGATATCTATAGTGTAGGATGTATTGGCCAGAAATTGTTTGATATTAATCTAACTGAGTATGTATTGAAAAAAAATATTTTATATTTAATAAATATTTTATGTTTAATAAATATTTTATGTTTAATAAATATTTTATGTTTAATAAATATTTTATGTTTAATAAATATTTTATGTTTAATAAATATTTTATGTTTAATAAATATTTTATGTTTAATAAATATTTTATGTTTAATAAATATTTTATGTTTAATAAATATTTAGTTTTATTAGATTTATTATAATTTATTATAAACTACAATATATTTTAATAATATAATTTTTTTTCATATTCAAAATAGTTCAAAGCGTATTGAAAAATATCAAAATCATAAACTATATAAATATGTAGAAAAACTTGATAAATATCTATCAAAAATGGTCGATCAATTACCCAGAAAACGACCCGATTTAGCCACTGTACTGAATAAACATGGTAAATGGATGCCCGAAATGAGCATGGTTAAAAATGAATCGGATTATCATGCTAGATTTAATCAAATTGAAAAGTTATGTTACCAATATGATACCAATGGTATATGTTTTGAATTTTTATTGGATAAACTACAAGCTATTGATGACGGTATCGGCAAATTGATTAATAGTACAAATAGTTTGATTGCAAACTTTCGTAATAATAATTATAGTACTGATAGACTTAATGATAATAGATTTGATTTCGTTTTAGTAAATTTGTTACAATGCATACTAAGTAATAAAAAAAATAATTTTTTTAATTAATAAATAATATTTTTATATGTAGTAATACATATAATATTTAGTTTATTTTTTTTACTCTATTTGTCTATGCTATGATTAAAATGTTATTTTTAAATAGTTTATTTAAAATTGTATTTCAAACATATATATATAAATATATTTATATAACTATATAACTAATAAATATCTTAATTTTTTAATTTTAAGTTTCAATTCATTTATTTATTAATCGATTATATTATATAATATTATAAAATTATGTAAAACAATAATACAATAAAACTAATAATAATAATAATACAAATTATCACAATTATTGTTATAATAATTATTAAGATATTTTATTATATTTTTTTAAAAAAAACAATATCAAAAAAATTAACCAATAAATATAAAACATGTTTTTTCGCAATTATTTTTAGTGTCAAAGTTGTTACCATTGCCGCCACAGCCGCTATAGTTAAACTGATAGCATGAATAGGTAGACCAATCAAAATACCAACGTTTAACTATATTATTATTATTATTATTACACGACCCCTTATCAGGTTTAAGTGAACAATCTTGAATAAAAATATTAAATATAAAATTTTTTAATAACTATTGTATATTTTATAAAATATAGTATTTTAAATTAGTCTATTATATAAATTAGAAAATTTTTTAACAAAAAAATAGTATTTTTTAAATATTATATATTGAATATACAGATAACTGACCACGTCCAAATGATACAATTGTATCAATCATAAGACACAATAAAATAGTGATCAATAATAACTTGATTGATAACATTTTATCAAATTTTGATATAATTTTAATAAAATAAAACAAAAATGATATCTAAACTAATAATCAAATAAAAACTAAAACATGTACAGTATGTGTGCACAATAACTATTGACTATTGTTTCAATAAAAAAATGGTGTATTGATAATAATTATTATGTTATATGACAATGATAATGTTAAAATTTTGTTATTGATAACATTTTAGTAAATATGACAAATACATAAATATATATAAATACTTTATAGGTATATGACATTAATAACCTTGAAAAAATTATATAATTACAGATATAAGTATTTATTAAAAAAAGTTGCATTATTAATTAAATGTACAAAAATATGTTTAGATAAAATTAAATGTTATTTTTGTATATTTTTAAAAATAGTATTATATATTTTTATATGAATATAATGTAATTCTATTATTATTTATATTATTTTTAATAAATTTTGTTGTTTTTCTTAATGTATTAATTATATAAAAAATTATATAAAAATTATATAATATTTGTATATGTTTTAAAAAAATAGTCTATTGTTAGATAATATAAATATCAAGTTTTTATTATTATTATTAATACAATTTTATTAATTAATTACTTTTACATTTGTAGTAATATTGATAGTGTTATTAGTATCGTTAGTTTTACTAACATTATTATTATCATTATGGGTATTATTATTATTATTATTATTATTTTCCAGTTTACTTGAATATTTTTTAATAGCCAAATTCAATATAATAAACAATGTAATTGAGCTTGATAAATAGAAAAGTTCAGTATAAATAAATATGGATGAATGTTTTTCAATGTATGGCCCGATAATCAATGGCGTTACTAATGTTATGATGCCTTTAGATAACCGAAAAATGGCATTGGTCGTATTTGTTATATTCATATATTGTTCAATCATCCATATAATGCCACCGAAAAACCCAGAAGCACCTAACGGTATAAATATACAGGCCAGCCATTGACAAACAATATTATATTGGCCAGGTATCAATAGGACGGTGCCCAAAATACTAACTAAATAATGGCCAACCAATACAAGTCTAATTGGAAATCTGTTGGGAATTATTTAAAATATTTAAATTATGTAATTAGTCTATAAATTAAATTAATTTTTATATAATATAAACAGTGATAATTATGCCCAAACGCACCTGTATTGCCAAAATATGTTGAGTACCATTCCTACTGTTAGCATAGCTGATGAAATACTGAACATATAGGCGGCGTCATTGGCCGATAGATGAAGTGCTGTGTATTGTAGATAAGTAACGGTAAACTTCATGTAAACCGTCTCAAAAATGACACTCAGACCAAAAAATGCGGCAAATATTAAACGTATAGTGATTTTCGGCGATTGTTTTCGATCAAAAATCTTGACTACCGGTGCTTTAACAGTACTGTCTGTTTCATCTATCTTATCGTCTTCTGTCTCAATGTCATCACTTTTTTCTTTGGGCGGTTTGTATGGACTAATAAAATACATAATCCAATGCATTACCGGTACTAATTGATTAAATGATTTATAATTATTAATTAAATTTTTGAATATAAATAATATAAACTTTCAATTATACCAATCATAAGACATCCGCCAATAATCAAAGTGGGAAACATTAGCCTATTTCGCCGTTCAGTCACCTCATTTATGTCAATCTCCAGTTTCTCATCGTTGCCACCATTTCTTTGTTCACCGACGAGGTAAGGCCTCAACGATACTGTACACAAAACATTGCCTATACTGAAGCCGACCGATAATATCTGTACGATCGGTACTTTGACGTCACGCCATAACTCTATAGCCCAGACACAGTTGGAACTGGAGAATATTGTACTACTGAAGCCCAATACAAAGGCACAGACAAATAGCACCCATACTTGTGGTACCAGCGGTATGGATGCGGCGGCAATGGTTAGTAGTATGAAAAACACTGACATTGTTAACTGTCGGTTGAGATACCGAAACAAAAATGCCATTGCTTTGTGTTTGAAAGGAAACGGTTGATTCAATAATTATATTAATAATATAAGTGTTAGGATATTGTTAATTATGATATAACTTACTAAAAGTGCCCAAACAATAGCCGGTTGTCTCAAATGTGGTAAACATTGAAACCCAACGCATTGTTGTGTTGAGTATATATTTCATGTCTACCATAATCGGTGCATACATTGCACATATCATACCCTTAATTTCAAATATTTAATTATTTTAATAATTTATTATTTTATTTTTAAACAAAAAATAATAGTATATATATACACGATATGATATGATATATACAGTATATATTACTTACATATGAAATTTCGCCACATATTAATATAAAAGTATAAATATATCGTTGATATTTAGCCCAATTGGGCGACTCTAATATGGCACGCATTGCCTAATAAAACTATATTAAATCAAAATATTTCTCTAAATGAGACAAAAAAATTGTTAATAAACATATTTTATCATGGTAATATATTTATTTAAAAAATTACTTTGTTTTAATGTCGATTTATAATATTTATACTAAAAGTCAAATGAAATTTATATTTATAATAATAAAAGTTTATGCATTTTTCCATGTATTCAATGCATGATTTAAGTATATTTTATTAATGTAAAAGTATTTTTTTTTGTTTAAAAAATATAAATAAGAAAATAATGTAATTGTTGTAAATTGAAAATGATTATACATTTTTATTTGGTGCTGGTTAATAATCATTTAAGTATATAATTTATATATATTAAAAAAACAATTATTAACTAATAATTTTATGATTTAAAAATTTATTGCACTTATAAAATATTTCATAAAATATTTGCAATTTTATTGTTTTATATGTCTTATAATTTTAAAAAAAAACTGTAATTTTTTCTATAATATAGCTAAATAAAACTTATTTTAATTGATTTTTGTTGCTGTTTTCAATGCTTTATTTATTTAATGCAGTGTAAATAATTAAGCATATTTTATTTATTAATAATTATAATAATTTTAAGTTTTTATTTAATATTTATACATTGACTGACCATGATGGTTGTCTAATGTTATAAAATTTTAGTTAAAAATATATGCTACTAATTGGTAGTTATTTTAACTAATATATTCACTAGTATTTAGTATGGGTACATAGGATACAGTAGTAAATTAATAAAAGTACATATACTATAAATAGATAACTAAAATAAAATAAAAACAATTGTTTTATAACATAATTATTTTTATCTTAAAATTTTCTATATTATTTTTCATTATAAATTTTATCTACCATTTATACTATATAAAATATTGTAAAAAATACTTCAATAGTTATTTTATTGAATTTTTAATCACGTAAATTATAATATAAAATAAGTTACTATTTAGGCTTTTATTGTTAATGTAATTATTATAAAAAACTAAAATTCTATCAAATATATGAAAGTTAATTGTCATAAATTATGTTTATATTGATATATACTGTATATACAATACTATTATAGCAATAAATTAATCTAGTTTAATTTATTAATACATTAACATTTTTATCAAATAAAATACTAAATATATTAGATATTCTAATAAAGTATTTTGTTAACAAAAAAATAACATAATTATCAATTGAGACAATCATTTAATATTTAAGATACAAATAATAACATAAAAGTTGATTACAAGGTTAAGATGAGTGCACAGCATATTACACAATATTGTTTCTATAGCTGATCCAACTATTTGATGGTTTAATAGACAATGATGTGGACTTCATCTCATTATCCCTGTGCCCACATTAACATCTATACCAGTTATAGATAAAAGTCATATAATTTTTTATTATTAAATTAGTACATTACGTACATTAGTATTATGTAGTAAATTACGATAAAATTTTTATGTTATTATTAATTTATTATTTCAAAAATAACTTTAAAAACTGCTTATTTATAAAACAATATGTTTTTTAATTATTTTTAATTAATTATTATCTTCTAAATTTCGCAATGCAATAATTTTATTTAATATAAGGCAAGTTTCTAAAAAATATCAATAAAAATTATATATATATATATATATAATAAAATTGCTAATTAAATTAT